GGGCTGGCAGGCTTGGAGCTGGCACAGGCACTGTGGCCAGAGTCTACCCCTTTAATGGCACCGGGGCTGGGGGAGGGAGAGTAAGTTTTCCTGGTTGTGGCCAGAGTGGCCACCAGGGCTCCTTGGGAAGGGCTGGAAGCCCCCTATTTCGAATTAAGTGTCTACACAGCACTTAATTCAAAATAGCTATTTGGAATTTGGTGTTACTCCTTGTAGAATGAGGTTTACCAAATTCAAAATAAAGGCTCCACTGTTTTTAATTTATTTAGAAATAGTTGTTTGCCTGTGTAGACGCTATTAAAGTCAATTCAAAATAACTGCTGTTCTTTCGAATTAACTTTGTAGTGTAGACATATCCTGAGTGTGTGGCTCCATTATGAGTTTTCCGAAAAGGGTGGTGTCCTGGGCAGAAAGGTTGGGGCTAGAGAGTAGCTCCCCTAGCCAACCCTCAGCACTATACTTTACTGCACCATGGAGGGCACCGATGGCAATTTAAAGTGTCTGGGGTAGTGGCAATGGCAGCCCAGAGCCCTGGGCCCCTTGTAAATTATCTGCCCTCCTTGTCCCTGTCAGCATCCCTGACTAAGGGGAGATATGGCAGAGGTCTATAAACTCATGAATGGTGGAGAAATTACACACAGAAGTGTTATCTACTCCTTCAAACAACACAAGAACTAGGAGTCACCCTATGAAATTAATAGGCAGCAGATTTAGACAAAAGGAAGTACTTTTCACAGTCAACCTGTTGAACTCTTTGCAAGAGCATGTTGTGATGGCCAAGATTATAACAGGGTTCAAAAAAGAATGAGCTAAATTCATGGAGAATGGGTCCCTCAATGGCTATAAATGGTTATTAGCCAGTGAGGGCAGGTATCCAGTACCCTCTTCTGCATGTCCCCTGCCTTTGTTTGCCAGAAGCTGGGGAAGGGTGATGAAGCACACAATGATTGCCTCTGAGGCACCTGGCATTGGCTACTGTCAGAAGGTAGGATACTGGGCTAGATGCAACCAGTACAGCCATTCTGATGTTCTCACACAGAACCCAGATATATGTGCCCACTGCAGAAACACAGTAAAACTCACTCCCCTCCTAGAGCTGAGCTAGAACTTAGGAGTTCTGATGGGGTATCTCTTTCCCCACAGAGTTAGTAAGAAAGAATATTAAAACATTCGAAACATAACCATGTCCCTCAAGCAACTTGCCACAAGATGTCCAAACATGTTATTATTGGAGCTGAGTGGGTTTAATATTTATTTCTCTTTCTTTTGCAAAGGAATTAGATAAAGGGCATCTGTCAGCTAACTTTTAAACTATCTGCCAGAAATCGTGAGTCTTCAAATGTCTAAGCAGAACCATGGTTAAGGTTGCCCCCTCCCAACTAGAATCTGAAATGGCATCACTGACTGTTGGTCAATTATGGCTAAGGTCTGTCCCTTTCGCATCAACTAAGTGACACAAAGGGTACGTCTACACTGCAAAGTTATTTTGGAATAAGCCAGTGTTTCTCAAACTGTGCTCCACAGAGCCCCAGTGCTCCGCGAGACATCTTCAGGGACTCCGCGAGGTTGACAAACTGGAAACATTGATAGGTACAACACATACAATCAGTGGACCGCTGGGATTCTGCATAAATATCGACTGTTATTCCAAAATAACTTTGCTGTGTAGATGTACCCAAAGAGGCCAGACTGTAAAATAAGATCTGACTTGGTCTCTCTCTTTATTTATTTAGCCCCCATTGCCTCTCTGTTCTTTCCCACAGTGTGACCCTTGTTAGTGTGAAAGCCTCCTTCTATAGAGCTCCTTGTTTTCTCAAATATACCGCCTTTCCTTTTCTTTTCAAATCTTGTCTGAGAGTATTACCCTGTTTTAGCTAGCTAAGTAAATCACTTGGGGATAGGATCAGTCTCAATACAGTTAATGAATCAATAATAGATCAATATGTACATACTGGAACTATATGTTTCTATTTCCAGAGTTATGCATGACGTCCTCAACAGATATGGAGAAGAACAATATTGTTCTGAAATGGAGCTCGGAAACAAGAATCAATTTAGAAAGTGGAGACTATGTTGAATTTCAATGTAAAAGTGGATTTGTGACGGATCCAACCTCTTCTGCATTTAGAGTACAGTGTGTGGAGGGGAAATTGACATATCCAAGGTGCAAGAGAAGAGGTATGTAATCTCCAGTGAAACTACAATATCAGTAAATCACCCGAGTAAAAGATTTTTTTTATTTTTACAGAGGAATTCACAGGTTAGAAAAAATACCATGGCAACATTGGGATGGGCAACATAGACACAAGTAGGAAGTTGTTTTCCTGACTCAGGCAGCTGGCAATCTGAACAGAGAAAAGAAATGGAAGGTTAAGGAGATACTTGGATTGTGAGTTCTATTTCTGGAACTGGACAATCTCCTTCTGACATCTAGTTTTTTCTAGTTATCAACAGAGTGGAAGAGTTTTATAAGTTTCATGTTTTTTTACTCAAATTCTCTGACTTCCCAATTTGTAGAGCATAACTTAATTCAGCCAATGGATTCCCA